TGAAGATGATGGAGGAGTGAATGACACCTCGTTTGATGGCTGAAATCTTGCATGCAGGGAGTGTTCAAGGTGCGGAAAATACAACTCGGCCCGAGAACTTGATTTGTTTTCAGTTGGTCTCCAACGACGTCAAGAACAAATCCTCACATTGCCTTTGATAACTCTAATGCATAATATATTTTTTTTTGGCTCATTTGGCTCAGGGAATGTAGTGGACCTGCTTTGGGTCTCATCCTCCGATTGCCATGGCGTTTGTGAAGGTGCTGAAGAATGCGGCGTACTTCAAACGCTTCCAGGTCGCAAGACGGCGGCGCAGGGAAGGCAAGACAGACTACCATGCTCGCCGAAAGATGGTTCGGCAAGATAAGAACAAATTCAACAACCGCAAGTACCGACTAGTGGTTCGATTCACCAACAAACGGTGCATTTGCCAGTGTGTTTACGCAACTTTGCGTGGAGACATCGTTGTCGCTGCGGCGTCTTCCCAAGAACTATTACACTTTGGCATTCCTGCTGGACACAAAAACTATGCAGCTGCGTATGCTACTGGTTTGCTTTTGGCCCGCAGAGTGTTAAAAAGGTTCGGCCTCGATGAAAAGTTCAAGGGGAAGGAAGAGATCGATGGCGAAGAATACCACATTGAAGATGAAGATACTGAGCAAAGGCCTTTCAAGTGCATTCTTGATGTTGGGATCCGCCGCACTTGTGTGGGTCATAGGATGTGGGGTGCTTTGAAAGGAGCAGTTGATGGTGGTTTGTATGTGCCCCACAAGTTGAAGAACTTCCCTGGCTACAAGGCAGCCGATGAGAAGGGCGGTGAATCTGAATATGATGCAGAAGCTCACAAAGAGAAGATCTTTGGCAGTCATGCAACTTAGGCCGCGTTGTTGGATCGACATAATCGTGAAGTAAACTGCCCAGTAGGTTCGCATATATATGTAGGTAGTATACGGCTATATTCAATATCCAGGTTTGGTTTCAGCTGCTTGATCAAACGTCATTGAGGTAAAGGAGTACATGGAGATGCTGCAAGAGGAAGACCCGACGAAGTATGAAGCACACTTCTCCAAGTACATTGAGGCTGGCATTGAGCCTGACAAGATGGAAGACATGTATACCGAGGCACATGAGAAAATCCGTGACGATCCAGATGGCAAGAAGGCCGAAAAGAAAGAGATCACCTATGAGCGGGATGGCGACACCATGAAGGCCTCTGATGGTACGGAGCATGTGCGATGCCAAAAAAATCACGCTGGAGCAGCGGAGGGAGAAGGTGTCTGCTAAAATTGCAGCAGCGCAAG